CGACAACAAGACATGGTCGCTGGTCGAGCTCCCGCATGGTCACCGCGCCATAGGCCTCAAGTGGGTGTACAAAGTGAAGCGTGATGAGAACGGCAACATCGTCAAGTACAAGGCTCGCCTCGTCGCCAAGGGCTACGTGCAGCAGCCTGGCGTCGACTTTGACGAGGTCTTCGCACCAGTTGCACGACTGGAGTCGGTGCGGCTGCTCCTTGCCATCGCGGCGCACCACGGCTGGGGCGTCCACCACATGGACGTGAAGTCGGCGTTCTTGAACGGGGAGCTCCAGGAAGAGGTGTACGTTCAGCAACCTCCTGGCTTCGTCGACGACAAGCACAAGTACAAGGTGCTCCGGCTTCACAAGGCCTTGTATGGGCTCCGTCAAGCTCCACGCGCTTGGAACCAGAAGCTCGATGCCGAGCTGTTGTCACTTGGCTTCACACGCTGTGTTGATGAGCATGGGATGTATACCCGTGGCAAGGGAGGAGGACGCCTGATCGTGGGCGTGTACGTCGATGATCTGATCATCACTGGTGGTGATGCAGGCGCCGTGGTAAAGTTCAAGGTGCAGATGCAGAACATCTTCTAGATGAGCGATCTTGGGCTCCTCTCCTACTACCTTGGTCTCGAGGTCACCCAGGGGGCCCAAGGGATCACGCTCCGCCAAAGCGCCTACGCCACCAAGGTGCTTGAGAAGGCAGGACTGGCTGGATGCAATGCCAGTGCCACGCCCATGGAGCCGAAGCTGAAGTTGCTGAAGGACGGCACGACGCCGAGCGTGGACGCCACAGAGTACCGCAGCCTAATCGGCAGCCTGAGGTACCTGTGCAACTCCAGGCCGGACCTGGCATATCCGGTAGGATATCTTAGCCGGTTCATGGAGGCACCGCGTCAAGAACACCTTACTGCAGTCAAGCGAGTCCTTCGCTATGTAGCAGGCACGGTGCATTGGGGCCTGCACTATCGCCCAGGCAAGAAGAATGGAGGCGTGCTAGAGCTGCTGGGCTACTCTGATAGCGATCTGGCCGGAGATATCAACGACCGGAAGAGCACCAGCGGCCTCATCTTCTTCCTGGCAGGTGGTCCGGTTGCCTGACAATCGGCCAAGCAGAAGGTGGTCGCCTTGTCTTCCTGCGAGGCGGAATACATCGCGGCTGCCGCAGCTGCGTGCGAGGCGGTTTGGCTGTCACGTTTGCTGGCCGAGCTAGTCGGAGGAGCAGTCCTCGCACCCAAGCTGAAGGTGGACAACAAGTCCGCCATAGCACTTATGAAGAACCCTGTGCATCATGATCGGAGCAAGCACATAGACGTGAAATTTCACTTCATCCGGGAATGCTGCGACAGGAAGCTGATCAACGTCGAGTTCGTCGGCACTGAGCTGCAGCTGGGCGATATTCTCACGAAGGCGCTCGGTCGTAGCCGGTTCCAAGAGCTTCGCGGTGGGATCGGCATGAAGAAGCTAGTGTAGTTGCTCTAGGACTTAGGAGGAGATTGTTGGAATAAGTCCTGAGCTCCTAACTTTAGAAAGTAGCAGGCGGCTAGCACCATTAGCGGCCCTGCAAGGATCGGCATGGCCCAGGCGGTTGGGATGGCAACTGCTGGTCACGAGCATGCCGGGATTGGCTCGGTCTTTTGTAACCATATAGGGATGCATGTATTTCCTTTAAATAGAAATAACAAGCAACAGAAAAAGCAGCCGTATTGCAGCCCAAACTTCCGTGTGTGCCACTTTGTGTTCGCGTGTGTATTGTCTTCCTCCATCGGAGTTCTGTCAAAACAGTGCAACATTGGGAGTCGCTTAAACTAGTTATATATCGTCTCTTGTTTGTAATTACCAACCAGTACTTTTTTTCCACACGCCCGAGAAGTCCGAAATTGAGTACCAAAGCAACGAAGAAATTACAAAAGCAACGAGAGCAGAGTTTTAGTTGAAGGACGGCCGCTAGAGTCGAGCGGAATGCCCCCCTAAAAAAAATAGTAGAGCGGAATGGAATGGAGGAGAGTGGCTGGGCCCGGCCCTGGTTGCATTTGCACGGCGTGTGGGGCAGCGGGGCCCGACCCAGTCCATCCTTGTTGGCTGTTGCAGCCTTGCAGAGCGGAATCGCGGGCAGTCGCAGAATCTGATGGCCGGCACTGTGCCAGTGGTGGAAAATAAAGTTTCGAGCACCCGACCCGAGCCGAGCGTGAAACATGATGCATGAGTGTAGTGAGGTAGGAGGAGGAGTATTTGCGTTTGCATGGCCATGGCCACGGCGTGTGCGCCAGCCAGCCAGCCAGCACGACGGAGACGAAGAAGAAAGAAAAGCGAGGAGAGCCTGTCTTTATTTGTATGATTGTATCAGTTGAGTTGAGCCTTTTGCAGAGTGCATGCAGGGAGGGCAGAGAAGTGGCCTGGGGCACGGCGGCTTGAAAGCGTGCCTGCTCTATGCTGCAGCCACGGCCGGCCACGGCAGAGGCAGAGAGGCTCCCAAGTCCCAAGTCCGTCCGGTCCGTTCCCAACGACGACCACCAGTTCACAACACCACGACCGAGTCCAAGGCCGGTCAATGGCGAGTAGGACTGAGGGGAGGTACTGGAACGACCGTTCCAACGAGACTGGCTGGCCTGCCCCTCGAAAAGGACAAGTTCAGAGCCAGAGCAGCACAGCCGAGCTGCATGCAACAAGCACAATTCCATACACAAGACAACAGAGACGCTGCCCTGCCAGCCAAATGAACACACGCCAGGAGCAGAGTGGAGGGAGAGGCGACGCGGGGCGAGCGGGGCACGACAATCCACCGGAGGCCTTGCGCAGGCGGCGGCGCAGCCTCTCCGGGTCCGCCGTGGCCACCACCGCCCGCTCGCCCTTGGTGCTCAGGGCCGACTGGTCCAGCGACAGGATGCCGTCGCACCGGAGCGTCAGGCCCTTGACGGCGGCGCGGATCTTGTCGCCGCACCCGTCGCAGCGGCAGTGCATCGGCACCTTCAGCAGGAACGCCGTCGCCATGGGCGCGTCGGCGGCGTTGTTGCTGCGGCCGCTCTTCTTGCCCATCGCGGTCGGGATCGGCGTCGGCCTGGGTTGCGGGCTCTGGCTGTGGCTAGCGTGCGCGTGCTGTGAACGAGTGTGTGTGAGAGAGAGAGGGAGGGAGAGATGGAGAGGTCGAGAGTGTAGTGGTGCGGCGGTGCGGGATAGCGACGGCCGGGTGCTCTGTTTTATGGAGAGGGAGGGGACTCAGGGTCAGGGGAGGGCGGCCGGACGGGAGGGAGGCGAGCTGGATGGCGAGTGGGCCACGTGGCAGGGCTTCGTGCGGGGGAAGATTCGCCGTTCGCACGCGCGCACGCGGCCGCGTCGTGGGAGCGGAGACACCAGGCGAGTGTTGGCCTGGAGACTGGAGTGTGCTTGGTCAGTCAACTCAGCCATTGAGCTTGGCCGCTTCTCCATGAAGCGCTGCCGCGATGCCTTCCTCCTCGCCATGGGCGCACGCCTCCAGCTCGGGCTCCTCTTGCATGGAGGAACGGACAAGTCTGTACCGGGCATCAGAGGCAGTACCGCCACCGTGCTCGTCGGCCGCGCCTCTACTGCTTGTACAGTGTACTACACTTCACTGTTGTACGCACATGCACATGGCATTTCTTCTTTAGTTTTCTGCGATCGAAAATGGCCACCAGACCAAACCCAGCGAGGCATGCATGTCCGCACCGCACCGCATGTGTTATTTTTGCAGTAGAAGAGAGGAGACGGACTGCGTGCGCAGGGACGACGACGACCCATTCTTTGGGACAACTGCGAGATCGAGCGGAGACAGGTGCACATTCACAACTTGTTTGACACGACTTCGCTTTTATTTACTAGTACTAGTAAATGGCCCCCCTTAAAACGAAGGATTATTGGCAAAGGAGCTCTAATAAAGGATTCAGATTGCTAAGAAATTTTTACTGCACACCTCTTTTTAGTTCACAGGGCACACCTCTTTTTAGTTCACAGGGCACAATAAGAAACATTTCATGTTATAAACGATAGTCAATATAAACGACGAAGAACCGTAGATCAAACACAGGGGACACGAGATTTTAACGTGGAAACCCCTCTCAAGGTGAAAGGGAAAAAAACCACGAGCACCAGCCAGCTAATCTTCACTATATCGGGTGAGGTTACAAACGTCGGAGATTTACAACCTGGGGATACCCTAACCTGGGGGCCTTCCCGTATAGAAGTCTATGATGCATCTTTTCTATTAGGGAGGTGGTCCGTATATACATGGAGGAAAAACCCCACACTCTCGTCTATTAGCAATACGGAACTAATAGATGGTGTAGTCCCTCTTAACGCTAATGGGCCGCTTCGCTTCGGCCCAAGCTTAAATTTAGATCATAACTCAACAAACTCCACCTTAAGATAAATTCCTTCTTATAGCATAAAACGAACCTTCACGCTGAAACAACAAAAAAATAGTTCCGGTGCCAAATAGTCTCTTGGGCTAAACAGTTATACCAACTAAAATTGAGCAAAGCTCAAACTTAGCAACAGAAACTGGCTTTGTCAACATATCAGCAGGATTATCATGTGTGCCTATCTTGCATACCTTCAGCCTACTTTGCGCGACCACATCGCGAACATAATGGTATTTGACATCAATGTGCTTTGTTCTCTTATAGAACATCTGATCTTTAATGAGACATATAGCACTTTGACTGTCACAAAATAAATTAATGTAAGAATCATCTCCACAAAGTTCAGCAAACAAATCTTTCAACCACACTGATTCTTTACATGCTTCAGCAATAGTCATGTATTCTGCTTCAGTGGTAGACAGGGCAACAACGGGCTATAATGTTGCCCTCCAACTCACAGCACAACCACCAATAGTGAACACATAACCTGTGAGAGATCTCCTTTTATCCAAATAAGCAGCAAAATTTGAATCCACGTAGCCAGTGAGTCCCTTATCAGTCCTGCCAAACTTTAAACAAGCATTTATTGTGCCACGAAGGTACCTGAAAATCCACTGAACAGCCTTCCAATGTTATTTACCAGGATTAGCCATGTATCTACTAACCAAACTCATAGCATATGATAAATCAGGACGAGAGCAAACCATGGCATACATCAAAGAACCAACAACACTAGAATATGAAACTCTTGACATGTACTCAAAATCCTCATCCGTACTAGCACATTGTAAAGCTGATAATTTGAAATGAGGAGCAATATGAGTACTAACAGACTTTGCATCATATATGTTGAAACGATGAAGAACTTTTTTAATGTAACTTTGCTGATTAAGAAATAACAAACCAGAAATTCTGTCTCTTGTAATTTTCATACCTAGAATCTTCTTAGCAGCACCAAGATCCTTCATCTCAAACTCACTACTCAACAGTTTCTTCGACGTAGTGATTTCTTTCTTGCTCTTAGCAGCAATCAACATATCATCAATGTATAACAACAAATATATAGGTGATCCATCAACAAATTTAATGTATACACGGCTATCAAATTCAGACCTCTTAAAACCATGTGACATCATAAAAGAATCAAACATTTTATACCATTGACGAGGAGACTATTTCAAACCATATAAGGACCTCTTTAATTTGCAAACATGATCCTCCTTACCAGGTACTATGAACCCTTCTGGCTGGTCCATGTATATCTCCTCCTCGAGCTCTCCATGTAGAAATACAGTCTTTACATCTACTTGCTCAAGCTCAAGATCTCGCATAGCAACAATACCGAAAAATGTACGAATTGAACTATGCTTTACAACTGGAGAGAACACATCATTATAATCAACACCAAGAATCTAACTGAAACCTTTTGCTACTAACCTTGCCTTAAATCTTAGAGGCTCACTAGGAGACAAACCCTCCTTTCTTTTGAAGATCCATTTGCAACGAACGGTATTCTTGTGTTTAGGCAAGCGCACAACATCTCATGTGCCATTTTTCTCAAGTGACTGCATCTCTTCTTCATAGCGGAAATCCACTTCTCACGATCACCAGAAACAACAGCTTCAGTGTATGTAGCCGGCTCATGAATGTTCTCATCCTGTTCAGCACAACTAAAGGCATAATGAACAATATCACATTCCTCAATTAAACGTGGACGAGGTCCACAACTCCTCTCTGTTCTGCGATCTGCAATAGACTGATTTTGAGGCTACAAAACAGGAGGTGAGTGCTGAACAATATCATGAACATTGTTATCAACAATTTCAGTTTCCTGATCATCTACGTGCTCCACCTGCACACTAACATATTCCTGCTCCTCATCAGAACCAACTAGTGAAACATCTGTGGACAAGCTGTCATTAAACATAACAGAGTCATTGAAAACAATGTTCCTGCTCATGAAAGTCTTTTTAGTTTTAGGATTCCATAACTTATATCCTTTAACTCCAGAAGCATAACCCAGAAACAGACACTTAATGGCTCTAGGTTCTAGCTTTCCATTATCAACATGAGCATAAACTGTGCAACCGAAAACTCTCAACTGTGAATAATCAGCAGGCATACCAGACCATACCTCAATGGGAGTTTTCTTATTAAGTGGGATAGAAGGTGACCGGTTGATCAAGTAACAGGCGGTGTTAGCAGCCTCATCCCAAAAACACCTGTTCATACAAGCATTGGACAGCATGCAACGAGCCCTCGAGATGATGGTTCGGTTCATGCGCTCAGCCACACCATTCATTAAACGACGAAGAATAGTAGATCAAGCACAGGGGACACAAGATTTTAACGTGGAAAACCCTCCCAAGGTGGAAGGAAAAAAACCACGGGCACCAGCCAACAAATCTTCACTATATCGGGTGAGGTTACAAACGTCGGAGATTAATAACTTAGGGATACCCTAACCTAGGGGCCTTCCCATATAGAAGTCTATGATGCATCTTTTCCATGAGGGAGGTGGTCCGTATATATAGGAAGGAAAAACCCCACACCCTCGTCTATTAGCAATACGGAATTAATAGATGGTGTAGTCCCTCTTAACGCTAATGGGCCGCTTCGCTTCGGCCCAAGCTTGAATTTGGATCATAGCTCAACATTTCATAGGATTGTATTCCTTCGACTTGATCTCATAGGAAAGCAAGCTAAGCAACAGGTCAAACCTCTTGGAATTTTTTCATGCGAGAAAGCTTGACTCCTCGTGCACGGGTTGTTGGCTCTCCCGTCTTTGCTGCCCTTGTGTGTTCCGTTTGGTGGGAAAGCTGACCATTATGCAAGCAAGTTGTTCGAAATCAAAAGTTGAGAGAATCGCGATCCTCTTTTTTTTCCTATAGTGCTACCAAAGACCATCTCATCTCAATTCCTGTGTTTTCTATTCCTACAGGGTTGGATAGAATAAACATGTCACCTCAATTCCTGTGTTTTCTATATCCTATGTTCCAAAGGGGACCAAAGTAGTTTTTTTTACTTTTGCTCCATGAGCAGCTTTACCGGTGGAGCTGAAGTTGTTTTGGTGAACCATTTGGCAAAAATAGGTCTACATGTGAATCTCTTTTGAAACATGCTCTCGCAAATCCAGTAGGGGCCCACCAAAACAAGTTGAAGCTAGGAGAAGCAACTATTCTCGGCTTGAACCCACACCAATCTCTTTTGAGAGCATGTTTTAAGGAGCTTCACATGTGAAGTTGTTTGACCAAATACCTATTTGGTACAAAACAACTCATGAAATTGCTTGAGAAGCTACCAAACGGGAACTCATTATCCTATTGGTACCGTTAGGTATAGATGCTCAAACAACCCAAGGTCCACGGGTTAGTCTACAACCCAATGTTCTGGTCCAGTTCAGTACATACCGGTCAGCTTGGCACCTTACATGCTTAGGCCACCTTTTGCTCGGGTCATGTATGGGACAGTCCCCCTGCCCAGACCGATTACTAGGAGGTATACTAAGAGCCCATCTATGCCATGTCCACCCCATATATAAAGTGCCTTTATTTTTTTTACTAAAGCCATCGACTCCATCCACTATCTCTTCCACCGCCTGCTCCCCTCCATCCTCAACTTCAATTCCCTCTTCTTCCTTTCCTCTTCGCGTCCCTTTCTTCCCATCCCATCTCTATTAGATCCACCGACGGCGGCCCAACAACGCAGAGGTGTGGACCTAAGACCATCTCGGACGGTAACACGTGGACACGACCTTAGATGGCTCATGCAGTGGCGCAGGGCTATGGTGGGCTCACTAGGCTTGCCTGACACATACAATGCAATCAAAATAGTTCTTCAATCTGAATACATATTTACATAAAATTATCTATATGTGTGATATCATCGAATAATTATCATTAAGTAGGTTCATCTTAGAATACATATTTATTGTATACGTGTTTAGAATCATATGTAGTGGTTGATGTTATTTTTTATAAACTTAGTCAAATTTTAAATAGATTGATCTAAAAGTACATTCTTTTTAGAACTGAACCCACTCTTTTTTTGGAAGACACTGAGATCCAAACCCCAACCACCTGCAACTACCAGCAATGCAAGAGCACGAGTGCAGGACCAAGAGTAGACCAGATCAGGGACCAGGCAGCAGCTAACTGCCGAAGACTCAAGACTACACAAATTGGCCTTTTCCGGGTCGTTTTTCCCCTTTGCCTTGCGTGGTTGACATGCTACACCCAGCTTCCGTGTCACTTCACCCTTCACGGCTTCACCCCACTTTGCACTAGTATAATACCATTGTTTTCTTGGTGCCAGTCCAATGGACTGTGGGTTGCTGTTGGCCCGATCGTTACACTAATGCCACTAGTATATCACTGAAGTACTAGTTTAGTTAGTTACACACGCGGAGGGTGAAGCAAAACATAAATGCGTTTGGATCGATCTTCGGACTCCATCGTTGAAAGCTCTAGTTTGGTTTTGGTGAATTGATGGAACCCTAAGTGCTAACCTAGTTTATCAAGTGATCATGATATAGGTAGCACACTCCAAGTGGTGAAGCAAATGAAGATCATGACATGATGATGGTAATGCCATGATGATGATCAAGTGCTTGGACTTGAAAAGAAGAAAGAGAAAAACAAAAGGCTCAAGGCAAAGGTATAAATGGTAGGAGCCATTTTGTTTTGGTGATCGAGACACTTAGTGAGTGTGATCATATTTAGGATCGATAGCCGTACTATTAAGAGGGGTGAAACTCGTATCGAGATGCGGTTATCAAAGTGGCACTAGATGCTCTAACTCATTGCATATGCATTTAGGATCTAGTGGAGTGCCAACACCCTTGAAAATGTTTATGAAAATATGCTAACACATGTGCACAAGGTGATACACCTGGTTGTTGGCACATTTGAGTAAGGGTTGGGAACTTCACCGACGGAATGTCCGCCCGTAAAGTGTGAACAGTCCGGCGGTGCCACCGGTGCCCTAGACAGAAAAGACGGAGGTCACTGGAAGTGACCGGACGCTGGCCTCGGTTGGACCGGCTCATCCAGTTAGTTGAAGCAGCGAAGACGCTGGTGTCGGTCTCTGACCAGACGCTGGGTCACTGAGTGACCGGACGCTGACAGGGTGCGTCCGGTCCCGCTGATGTGGCAGCGCACGGAAGAGTCACCGTGTGACCGGACGCTGGGTGAGTCTGGTCGAGCATGACCGGACGCGTCCGGGCGTAAAAAGTCATCTCTGGATGCTTACTAGAAACGACTGGACGCTGGGGTTCAGCATCCGGTCACTTTGAGCTACTGCGTCCGGTCGTCACTTGACCGTTGAGATCGGGCGATCGACATTTGAAGAGAGGGGACACGCGGCACGCATCATGTGACCGGACGTTGAGGTCCAGCGTTCGGTCAATATGACCGGAGCGTCCGGTCACCCCGCGTTGTGCCCAGTGAAGGGGTACAACGACTCTATTTTGTGGGGGCTTCTATTTAAGCCCCATGACCAGCTCAAGCTCACTCTCTTGGCCATTTGCATTGACATAACAACCTTGTGAGCTTAGCCAAAGCCCTCCCACTCATCCCCATCATAGATTCATCATCTTTATGAGATTGGGAGAGAATCTAAGTGCATTGCTTGAGTGTTTGCATCTAGAGACACTTGGTGTTCGTGTTTCGCTGTGGGGTTCGCTTATTACTCTTGGTGGTTGCCGCCATCTAGACGGCTTGGAACAGCGAGGTTCATCGAGCGGAGTGCGGTGATTGTCTCCGGCTCCGATCGTGGTGATTGTGATGGGTTCTTGACCTTTCCCCGGTGGAGAGCCAAAAGGTACTCTAGTGGATTGCTCGTGGCTTGTGTGATCCTCATCTTGTGTTGGTTGTGCGGCACCCTATTGAGGGTTGGGCGTGTGTGCCAATTAGCGCATGAACCTCCAAGTGAGTGAATCGCCACAACGAGGAGTAGCTTGCCGGCAAACAAGTGAACCTCGATAAAAAATCATTGTGTTCATCATTTGATTTTGAGGTGATTGGTCTTCATTGGTATTTATTCTTGTGATTGATTGGCTCCTTTCTCGACACGGCGGTATAAATAAATTACTCACTCTCTTTACATTACCGCAAACTAATTGTCAAGCTCTTTAGTGCAGCTAGTTGTGAGAGCTTGTTAGTTTGATTAGTGTGGCTCTTTAGTTAGCCTTTGAGAGCACACTAACTTAGTGTGGTGACATAGCTGTGTGGATAGAAACTATATAAACTAGAATTGTGGTAGGTGGCTTGCAATTTTAGTAGGCTAGCGCAACACTTGCTTCGCCTTATAATTGTCTAACCAATTTGTTAAGTGTTGTTATAGAAATTTTTATTAGGCTATTCAGCCCCCCTCTAGCCATTAGGACCTTTCAATCGTGTGATAAATAGGTTAAATATCGAATAATTATAGTTTTTTAGCTACCTATTAGTCTTATTAGTTCATTCATTCATGATTAGTCCATGTTATAAGACGTCTTGTTTGGCATCTAAAATTCAGGACTGATTTTTAGTCCTAGGATCCAAACGCGTCCAAAACCTCAAACACGCATCTAAGTCTAATGAAACGGTAATGCTCTCCTCAGAGCGTCCGATCCTCGGGACACCGCGCTTCCCAGTCCACGTCGCTCGCTCCAGCTCGTCACGTGCCCCAACCGCGACGCTCGCTCCCGTTTGCGCCCACGACGCTCGCTCCTGCTGGCGACGCCCAATCCCCTTCCTCTGCGGCCTTTCTCCAGCGCAGGGGCGCCACGCTGTGGGCACCGCACTCGCCCGCAGCGGCCTTCTCCAGTGTGGGGGGTCGCTCGCAATGGGCACTACACCCGCCCACCCACTCCACCCTCCCCTACTCCGCGCCAATGTCGATCTCCGCACCAGCATCGAGCTCTACGAGACGACTAGCCTCAATTCGTCCAAGCAGTAAGGTGACATTGTGCTGATAGCGCATGTTGCAAGCGTATGTTTCAAGTGTTTTAGATGTTTCAGAGGTATGTTGCAAGTGTTTTATATCGATGTTGCAAAAGTATATTAGGATGTTGCACATATTGCAATGGCTATACATGTATGTTTCAATTGTATGTTCTAAATGTTTTATCTGTTTCAGACGTATGTTGCAAGTGTTTCATTTGGATATTGCAAAAGCAGATCTGGATGTTGCATATATATGCAAATGTTTCAGGTACGTTGCAAGTGTTTCATCTGAATGTTTGCATATGTTCGCAATGGCTACACACGTGTTTTCAAGTTTTTTTTGTGTTTTTGCAAGTGTTTCAAAAATATGTTGCAAGTGTTTTGGCTGTTTTAGGCGTATGTTGCAAAAGTAGATTGGATGTTGCACATGTTGCAATGGGACCCACCTATCGCAGCTGCCTGCTGCAGCTGCTAGGGGCGCCGCCATGGGTCACCGTGCGCGCGCCTGAGGCCGACAAACACATCCCAGCACAACATCCACAGGCGGGGGTAGGTGACTCGGATCCATGTGAGTTTTTGCATGTGGGGCTCGGTGGTCAAGCGAAATAGCAGCGTGAAGTCCACGCGGTGGGCGCGCAAAAACATACGATGTGGGCTTCTTTTCGCGTGCGGCGTGGCCTCCCCGCGCAAAGGACGGAGGCGTCCGATATTTTAGGCGGCTCCAAACGTCTGGGGTTGCCGGTAACGCCCCTGATGAAAAGGCTCAGACACTCGGTCTTGCTATTATTATTATTATTATTATTATTATTATTATTATTATTATTATTATTATTATTATTATTATTATTATTTTGAGATAAATTTGGTCACGTTCGGCTTACCTTATATCCGGTTTGTTTGGCTTTTTTTCAGCTGAAACAGTGTTTTTCTCTCACAATATTTCAGTCGGAACAGTATTTTTCAGCTAAGTTTTAGCAAGTCGAATGGGGCCAAAGGCTTTTATATTAGTTGGTGTATATAGTATATTGTACTAGGAGAGCAAATTACATAGGCATCTATCAACGGCATCCGCGTGGGCATCCGCTTCGTTTGACAACATGGGTGGGTTTCACAGCTCGTACATGGCCAATGTCCCGCTGATCTGTGACGCAGCCCACACGCCGAGCGTGCTACCAGGCGCCGCCCATCGGTACCGGCACCAGTCCCGAAGGCACCGTCGTCTCACTCCATGCATCCTCCTCCTCCGGCACCGGCAGCGGCGGGGCGCTCGGGGCGGTTGCGGGGAAGGTGCTCGTGTCGTGTCGCCGCCACCCAGCAGAATCCGAAGCCACCCAGTCCGACGGCACCTGAAAGTAACGTTCGTTCATTCGGTTTGCGAAATTACATACTCAACCTGTTTACAAAGAAAGATGTATGATAGGATTTTCTATGAGACATTAGTGATGAAGCAAAGTGACCTAGATACCCTTCAAAAGCATTGATGAACAATGTCAAACATTGCGCATTAAACCGATACATTACTATATAGAATGTGAATGTCCTCCTTAATTGGTTAGATAAATTTGAATCTTATTACAAATATAAGTCTTATTTCATGGGATGGAGGGAGTATATTCAGGCCATGGAGATAGATACGGTAGCAGGTGGCTTACCCGCCTGCCTAAGGGAGTTCAAGTTAGTAATAACCAAATGAGCGGCGTTGGCAGCTTATCTAATCTAACCAATTCGGTACCTTAATAAGTAATGCCAAAACTTTTCATGGCCTACGTATATTATATACAAATAAATAAAAGGACAAGGAAGAAAAAGAAGAAGAAGAGAAAAGTGCACAGAGAGTAGCGTGGAACTGTGCCAATAGTACGTAGTAACACAGCACAATCTGTTTCAGGACAAAAATCTTTGAGCCTGACCAGCAGTACTCCTTGGCTCGTTGCAACTTGCAAGGCGTACCTGACCAGACATAGAGGTGTTCTTGGTTTGCCCAGGCCTTCCAATGAGTCGTGGTCCTGGCGATGGGACGCTCTCTTCTTCGAGTACTATCCTCACACACTTCTTCTTGGTTGCCTCCTGCAGCAGGCAGCAGAGCTTCTCTGGGTCCATGTCCATTCCACCCGTCACTCTCACCTTCACCTCTCCCGTCTCTGCTGAAACATCAGCTCGCTCCACCCCTGTAGCTTCTCTCCAAGTCATGCAATGCAATGCAGCACTTAGGACACAATACATGCAATCGCAATGCACAACTTGTGCTTGACGAAAAGATGCTTCAGAATCTACCGTACATACCTTGTGAAATGCCGATCTCCTTCACCCCGTCCTTGATCTTCTTGACACAGCCGTTGCATTGGCAGTGCATGTCCAGCTTCAGAACGTAAGTCTTTGAAGAGCCACCAGCCTTGCATTGTCCCTGCTACAGAGCACTCGTACTTCTAAGAACCGTTCACCACATTTTTTTTACTACACGAAGAACCAAAATGATTACGCTATATGCAGAGATGAGCTTTCAGATGCTCCAAGAGAAGCTACCTTTCCCATTATCACTTATGCCCTGCCTGCCTTTGAGGTTGGTCTTCAACTCTAGCTAGGAACTTCATTTAAGTAGCCAGGAAGGATGCCACCATATTTTATACTGAGAGCAAAAGGTGGAGGAACTGATAAACAAAAAAGGTTAGCTTCCCAGTGGTTGGCCACCACACCACCTCCCATGACATCCTGTACAGGTGAATGCAAAGCTTCTAATAAAAAATTCAGCAGAAATCATGCATGCTTCACCTGACTTCGGATGACAGCAAGTCCCCCCCAAAAAAAAAAAAAAAAAAAAGCGGTAGGCATATAAGAACAAGGAAATATGACAACTGTTGCACTCATTTAGGTTTGAATTTGTGTAGCTACCTTGATCGTATGTATGGGTTTGTTTCTCATGTATATTTAAAAATGTAATCGATAAAAAAATGCTGGACTTCGCTAATGTGATTACCAACTTATAAGCCTGCTTCTGCTCTTACATTTCTGTTGTTTAACAGATCGTTCACTCTGAAAAACGAGATGGGAACAAATATATTCAAACAGTAACTGAAAAATGTTGAAAAAACATTGCTCTTCCAATTTTAGCGGCAAAAAGAAGGCCATTTAAACGGTTTACAGCACAAGGGGGTATCGATAATATCCCGTACAATTCCAAACAATAAGATAAAAATAAAACAACTAACTAAAGACTCTGAAACTAATAACAGTAACCTCAATGCTCCACACCGGAAACAACCACCCGAACCTGACGAACCACCTGCTTGGAGCCTTTCTTTCCAGCTAGTTAACTTGACCGTCTCAAGGAGGAGAGACCTCAACCGGATCCTCTAAGCCCATACAACTAGCCAAAGGAGGGGCACAAGCAAGTATCGAGTCACCACCCCCTGCAACCAGTAACTAACCCACATCACAGCTCACCAGCTGATTCTTTCTGGTATGCTGGTCACCTGCCTCAAATCTAGCACCTTTTGTTCCAACAGATGTCTCCTCTCCACTGAACATATATTTTTTTTCTTTTGCACTAGGCCTGCTATCTTCTGTAGCAAAATCGCCATATCCCTCGAAGCTACATTCTGAAAGCATAATAGATTCATTAGTTTCCAAATACCCCAAAGGACAGCCTAAATAAGCATATTTGTTACTAACAACTTATTTTTACAATTTTACTAAGCCATAAATTACCAACAGAAAATGATCAGAACCACAAACAGTACCCACGACCTGAAAAACACTAAGCCAGATCCGTTGGGCTACTATACACTGAAAAAATAGGTGATGGATGGTTTCTCTCAGAACAAAAGAGACAAGAAACATCATCTATCTTTTCTTTTTGAGCTAAATTATCTCTAGTCAAAACTTTATTTTGAAAGCAAACTAAAGAAAAAAATGAACTCTAGGGGGGATTTTGAGAACCATAATCTGACCTGTAAACTGGAATTATACCCCTGAAGTTAATACTCCTATATAAAGATTGAGATGAGTACATTCCATTAGAAGTAAATTGTGAAATCATAGTGTCTTCTTCAGCTGAAAAATTAATGGTTGAAGCTAGCTGAACTATTTCCATCCACATCTGCCGCATAGATTAATCTACTGTTCTTCTAAATGAGCATCTCAAAACTTCCACATCCCAGAGCTTATAGCTCTTTCACCAGCCATTCCCTATCTGCCATCTCATTCCCAAACATTCCATCCACATCTGCCGCATAGATTCATACTGTTCTTCTAAATGAGCATCTCAAAACTTCCACATCCCAGAGCTTATAGCTCTTTCACCAGTCTTTCTCTGTTCTGTCATCACATTCCCAAACATAAGATCAGTTGGCACAAGCGACTGATTAATTGTAATCCTTGCAGCGAATTGAAGACAAAACTAGGTTAGCAGCTGCGCCAGGAAAACAGAGATTAACCTACCATTTCAGAAGTTGACTACCAGAGCTTGCACACAAGATTTGAAAATGCATCACCACTGCTCTTTGCAAGGGCAATCCTTTGTTTCCTTTCAAAACTTATCCTAACATTGGAACTAACACCCCTACATCATATTCTCAGTAAATACTCAGATTGATGAATGGAACCACCACATATACAATTGTTCGTGACTTCTGTTGGGGTTTCAGGAACTGGGTTTATCAAGGGAAATGCTGGAGCAGCTGTCTCTCGATATTCCAAGCAGTCTTCTCACAAAGAATCCTGAAAACAAAATGCCTTGGGCATCTTCAGGTATCCAATCAATCACCTTTGCCTGAGGGTGAAGCTGGGAAGCATCAGTAATTGCAATCTGATAAACATTACCATTCGGTGTGACTCCTACTGTGTACGCTTGTGCTCAGATTTGTGCCTTATAGCATTTCTCACCCTCGCAGATAGCTCTTTCCTCTTCTTATCAGAAAATAAGCCAGATAAGGTTAGCTTTTCAGGCTTGTATGTAGCATCTAACCTGAGAATTTGCCTCTCTACAAGATTCTTAATCTTGTTATTTCCATGGATCTTGCATGCTGTCAGAAGAGATGACCATACCACAAGATTTGCTTGGAAAGGCATATTCTGGATAAAGCTGTAAGCGTCGTCGATCTGTCCAGCTCTTCCAAGGAGATCAGCCATGCAAGTGTGATGCTTGACATTTGGTTTGACACCGTACTTGTCCGACATTGATGAGAACATCTTACACCCTTGTTCGACCAAGTTACTGTGACTGCATGCGCACAGGACTCCCACAAATGTGATGTCATCAGGTTGGAGCCCCAGGGTTTCCATTTCATCAAAAAGTGAGATAGCTTTCTCACCATGACCATGGTGAGCGAGTCCATGTACCATAGCATTAAACAACTCCACAGTCTTGAATTCATCAGCGACTCCACGAAACACATCCATAGCTGTCTGTATGCACCCATGCTTTGCATATATGTGCACGAAGCTGGTGGCAACTGTTGCATTTCGGCTAACCAATCCATTCTGGTTCACACGACGATGGAGCCTCTTTGCTAGACCAATCGCACCATGCTGGACACAAGCTGAAAGCACGGTGACGACTGTCACCTCATCAGCCTCAAGTCCTGTTGCTTCCATCTCCTCAAACAACAGAAGTGCCTCCTTGTATCTACCTGCCTGCACATATCCACCGATCAAAACTGTCCACGCAACCAAATCCTTATTGGGCAACTCATCAAACAACTTCCGAGCCATGTCGATATCACCAGCCCTTGCATACCCTGACACTATCACACTCCAAACCCTTGCGTCCTTCGCCTTCTCCCCAGACAAATTAAACACCTTCCTGGCGAGCTGCACTGCACCGCACTTAACATACATGTCCACTAACCCAATTACCACCTCTGCAGAGTCGAACAATGTATGCCTCAATGCCCTGCTGGCAAACCCATGCGCAGCTTTGGCCACCATCAAATCACCTAGCCCAGCACAGGCGCCCAGCAACGCCGTGATGGTCCACTCGTCCAGCCGGAACCCTCCCTCTACCATGTTCCTGAACATCCGCAACGCGCGTTCAACGCATCCCGACTGCACGTACGAAGCGATCAGGGTGTTGAACGACACGGTGTCCCTCGCCGGCATTTCGTCGAACAGCCTGCGCGCGAGGGCGTGGAGACCGAACGAGGCGTAGAAATGGAGGAGCGAGTTCGCGGCGAAGATGTCGGAGGCGAATCCCGACTTGAGGAGGAAGGCGTGGGTGCAGAAGCCGGCGGAAGGGAACTCGAGGCGGGAGCAGGCCGCGAGAGCTGCGGAGAGGGAGCGGGAGTCGGGGACGGTCTCCTCCTCTTGGGAAGCGGTGCGGACGATTGGGGCGGGCTGGTGGTCGCGGAGCATGCGGAGGAAGAGGCGGAGCGAGGCGAGCGGGTGGCCGGCGCGGAGGTGCGGGCGGAGGAGGCGGGAGGCCGCGGCGGGGGGCAGCGGGAGGCCCAGGAGCAGGAGTTGCGCGTGCGCCTGGAGCGAGGGGCGGCGGCGGAGGGAGGCGAGAAGGGAGAGGTGGAGGAAGCCGCCTGGCGCGGCGGCGATGGCGCGGCCGGAACGGCGGCGCAAGGGCATGGCATGGGCAGGCGACGGGAAGGCCTCGCGGTGTCTTTCCGACGTTTGAATCGGCGGAAGCGTTGACGTGCGACGAAGGCGTAAACAGGGAGTACGTATCCGATGAGCTTGAGGAGATACAACGAGGCCCAGCCCATCGACGTAGAGCTGTTGATGGGCTCCGGGGCGGACAGGCCCGACACCAATACCAACACCACGGTGTAATTGCTCTCCTCCGAGAACCCTCGCCGCCGCCGCCGCCGCCGCCCGCCGAACCTCCGGTGTGTCAGTTCGCCGCCGAAGGCCATGGACCACGACAGGTAACTGCGCTAACGCCGTTTCCTCCTGCAGCATCAACTCCCCACCTCCTTCACGATAGTTTAAGCGCCAAAGAGCAAATTACATGGTGAATTGCTACTTGTTAGCAACTGGCGTGAGTGATGGTGGTAGTGATTGCAATTTTTTTTTAGTTTCATGTACGGTTCATGCTGATTACAGGTTGAATTCGCCGAGCACGTCGGCTATTTCGCTGGAGGTGATGGGCCACCGGCTACATATTGCACAGGTGAGGAGAACTGGAGTAGCACCGAATGAATCTAGCTTCTTAAAGAGGTTTTTCTTTTAAGAAAAAGAATCGGGCTTTGCATCAGAAGGTGGATCAACTTTAACTTCTGTTCAGGCTGTATAGTGGTGAACTGGTGATACTGAATGGTGGGTGATCTGAATTTTCTTTTGCTTTTGGACTGACAGGATCCAAACTCCAAGCACCTTGGCACCACAGTCTGGGATGCATCAATGGTGTTTGTCAAGTTCTTGGTAATTTCTTTGAGTTCTAGGCCTTCCTGCACAAGTTGATGTGGATAAATATAATCATATGAGCAAAAATATATTTTTTGAAACTGTGTCTGTCACATCCACCGTACATAGACTTTGGGTTGTTGGCACCTTCGAAGCTAGTACTAGGATTTGCTTCTAACGAAAATGCCAGCTTACTTTTATTACCATCATCATGACTGGCATTTTATGGTTGATCTGTACAGGAAAAGAATAGCAGAAAAGGTCGGTTTTGTCCATCCAAGTTAAAAGGAAAGAGAGTGATTGAATTAGGAGCTGGCTGTGGTCTAGCTGGGTTCGGTAAACTCAATTCAACTGCCCATCAGATGTATTTCTGGATCCTAGTCCTATTGGCTTTTCTCTTTTAAAATTGTTTGCTTCTCCTTTAGGAATGGCCTTGTTGGGTTGTGATGTTACAACAACTGACCAAGTCGAGGTGCTCCCACTGCTTATGAGAAATGTTGAACGCAACAGATCTTGGATTTCACAATCGAACTCCGACTCAGGTTTGTTAAGAAAAGATGCCATTCCTAGTTCAGTTTCAGTAGTTCTCATAGCTGTAGTTTCGGATATAGTCATATGGTATTGTAGTTTTTGAAATAATCAAGACGTAATTATTACATTGGTTACTGTAAATGCATAGGGATCATGTTAAGTAAATTGTTCTTTAGTTCTGACAAATATAAATTGGCAAACACAAAACAGATTCCATTGGCTCAATTACAGTTGCAGAATTGGACTGGGGGAACAAAGAACATATCAAGGCCGTTGAGCCTCCATTTGATTACATCATTGGAACTGACGTTGTAAGTCTTTGTGCAGCGTCTTGAATCATTTCTGAACTCTTCCTCTCAAATAGCAGATCCTTCTTACTTCTGGTCATGCAAGCTTTCACGCAACATGCCATTTCACTATTTTCAATTATTATTTGGTACATTATTTAGTGAAAGTTTACTGTCATGGCAAATACATAGTTACACACGTAACCTTGCTCTGAAACATTCGTTTTAATTCGAAATTTATTTTTAATCTTGTCATATTTTTTATACTCGTCAAATTCAGTTATAATCCTGCATCATTGTTACACAGTAGACAAAGCAGCAATGCAATATGTTTTCAAGATTTCATAAATTAGTGGCATACCAAACAGTTTCAAATCTAGATCCAGGGAGCAGATGTTTAGTGGAATAGCCTTTAGTTGAGTGTAGCAGGATCGATGATTCAGTGATAACAAAGTGACTTACTTTCTCCTTCATCTGTGCATGTTCAAGGTTTATTCGGAGCATCTGTTGCAACCTCTAATGGAGACAATTACTGCATTATCTGGTCCCAAAACAAAAATATTGGTAGCTCCTGTCCTCTTTTTCAGAAGTTATTTCTGCAAAGCAGTTGTTTGGGAACTACTGAACTGTTGCCTGCTATCCAGCTAGGATACGAGATCCGTTCGACCACAGTCCACGAGAAGATGATGGAAATGTGGAAAAGCAATTTCATTGTGAAAACAGTCTCTAAATCAAAGGTATGGAAATGTGGAAAAGTAATTTCAGATAACCCAAATCTTATATTCATGTTTGCGTCAGTTCCGGGACTTATATATATGCTTATGATGTGTATTCTGAGACAGATGGATGTGAAATATCAACATCCTAGCATACATCTCTACATGATGGACCTGAAAGCACCATTGATCCCTGAGGTTGAGGCTACCGATAATGGGAACGACGAGGAAGAGGTTGTTTCGAATCCAGGGGAAGACGAAGATCCTGGAGTGAAGAGCGAATCTTGTTCCGGCTCGTCACCAGAGGCTAAGAGCGGCGGTCTGGATGATTGGGAAATCAGAAGATGTGGGGCTATGGCTGCAAGGCTTCTGAAGGATGTGAAACTGTAACATGAATTCGAAGCACGCTTTTTTTTTTCCTGTTTTCAGTTCAGTCAAGTAGGAGAACCCTAGAGCTCGTTTTTTCCTTGGCGGAGAACTCTAGAGCTCCTTTATGTTGTTGTCCTTGATCATTTTTCGCTTTGACATTGTTGTACTGGCCATGGCAGTCTACGTTATTTTGCCTTGTTCCATCAGTGGATATTGATATCCTTTTCAGAAAAAAAAAAGAAAAGAAATTGCCCTTTCTTGCTCGCTCCCTGACATGTGGCCGGCAATACCCCCCCTCGTAGATGTGAGGGGTGCTACCAGTCGGTTGGAGTTTGGACGGTAACGAGTTGAATTGTTCTGAAGCTGGGATCTCTAGTTGTCTTACATATAAATAAAAACTTTTTTTTGAGAGGATAAAAACAATATTTTTGTTACAGACAAGGGGGGCTCTTGCTTGCGCCGGCGCCGGCGGTAGAAACAAGGTAAATGAGTGGGTGAAGAAACAAGGCCGTCACTCTGGTTGGTTGTGTTCACGACAGGAATTGGAGGCTTTCACTTTTCACCGCTGTCGACGCGAGGATAAAAAAGAAAAAACCGCCGTCTCTGGCTTGGGTTTTCGCGGCAAGAACGTACTCCTACACAAGATGCGGAGATGAGCGATAATAGCTAGCCGGATGACTGTGCTGTGCTGTGGCTGCGTCTGCTCGGATGCCAAAATGACGGAGATGAGCGATGATAGTGGCCATGGACATGGACATCACAACCATTCCCCTAGCATGCTGGCCTCCTTGACCGTTGTTTCCTCGAATGCCAATAGGTTGAAGAGGACGATCACGTCATCTATGCCTGCTTCTGGTTGGGCTGCGAGATTGCTGCTGCTACTGGTGGTGACGGGAATGGAGTGAAAGATGCCGTCGACTCGGCGACAGATTCCGTCAGAGGAGCCAAACGGACGGCATCCTTCCGGCCTCCGTCCTCCGCGCAGTGCTCTCGGCTCGGTTTCGTCGTGTCGTGTCCCGCCCCCACCCGGAACGCAACAAACGGGGGGAGCACCAAACCCCACGTGGCCACCTTCTCCCGCTTGGCCGCTTCTTCAGTTCTTCCCACCTCAAGCTTCTTCCATTCCCACCGCTTCCTTTTCTCCTTTCCTTTGTTCCCGCACTTTCCATGTCACTGCACCACTGCCGCGCTGCCACGACGCCCGCCATGCCCGCCGCCGCCAGCGCCACCGGGCTCTCGTCCCCGGGCGCTGCCCCGTTCCGCCTCCCCGCCTCCGGCTGCGCCCACCAGGGCCACCTCCGCCTCCCTCCTCCTGCTGCTGCCGCCGCCTGCCGCCGCCGCTTGCTTCTCCGCTGCGCCGCCTCGTCTGGCGGTGGCGATGGCGCCGGAGGCAGCGGCGGCTCCGACCCGGCCCTCGAGGAGCAGCGGCGCCGCCAGGCCGAGCTCGCCGCGCGCATTGCGTCCGGCGAGTTCACCGTGCAAGGCCCCGGGTCAGCTGCCGCCCCTGCTACTCATTTCTTTGCGTTTATCTATTTCCGGTATTGATTGATTGTTTTATTCTGTTTCGGATTTGGGTTTCAATTCATCAAGGTGGATTGCGCCTCTCGTGGGGAAGCTCTCCAAGCTGGGCCCGCCGGGGGAGCTCGCCGCTGCGCTCCTCACAAGGGTGGCGGGCGCTGGCGCGGCGCGCGGCGGCCCGGAGATCCCGCAGGCAGTGGGGTCGATCAACGCCGTCGTGGGGCAGGCCTTCTTCGTGCCCCTGTACGACCTCTTCCTCACCTACGGCGGCATCTTTCGCCTCAACTTTGGCCCTAAGGTGAATGCAGAACGCCGGCACGCGATCAATCAATCAACCAGAGCTTGCTCCACAACCCCCTAGTACTATTAGCGTGCTCCGTATGATGGTTTAAAATTTTAAATTTTGTGTTCCTTCCAGTCGTTTCTTATTGTCTCCGATCCGGCTATCGCTAAGCACATCCTGAGGGAGAACTCCAAAGCTTATTCCAAGGTATGGTTATCAGTATCAATCTGGGCATATACGTTTTCCAGCCGTCGGAAGAAAGGTTTTCGATCAATGAACTGAAGTGAACATGTCGTTTGGTCGTTGTGGTTGATGCAGGGAATTCTTGCAGAGATACTGGAGTTCGTGATGGGTACGGGTTTAATCCCTGCTGACGGGGAGATTTGGCGTGTTCGGAGGCGTGCTATTGTTCCCGCATTGCATCAGAAGGTCTGACCTATCTGCTGCCTACTGTGTTCTACTGTGTTGGTTTCTTTGTTTACTCACCTCAAGTTTGCTCGTTCTACAGTATGTGACTGCAATGATTGGTCTCTTTGGAGAAGCTTCAGATCGGTTCTGTGAGAAATTGGACAAGGCAGCAGTGGATGGGGAGGACGTGGAGATGGAGTCGTTGTTCTCTCGATTCACGCTGGATGTCATCGGGAAGGCAGTGTTCAATTATGACTTTGACTCGTTATCTTACGATAACGGGATAGTCGAGGTTATTGATTCAAGTTTCCCTCTCTTTCCAGTTTCATTTGTCTACGGTTTTTCGCTCCTGAGACCTTTTTCCATTGTGGAACCATGATCAGGCAGTGTATGTAACACTAAGGGAAGCAGAGATGCGTAGCACTTCTCCTATACCAACCTGGGAAATACCCATATGGAAGGACATTTCCCCACGGCAGAAGAAGGTCAACGAAGCTCTCAAGTTGATAAATAGTACTCTCGATGAACTAATTGCCATATGCAAGGTAAATCGTTCTGTCGTTTCTAATACTTTCATTGTGATGTCGTACAGTTTGGGTTTAGAAAAATCATGACAGTGATATTGCCTATTGTTATTAACACAGAGACTGGTAGAGCAAGAAGATCTTCAGTTTCATGAGGAATACATGAACGAGCAAGATCCTAGTATTCTTCACTTCCTTTTGGCATCTGGAGATGATGTATGATGTAACATGCAAATAAATTATTTTGTCTATTTCAGCCTCCTCATCCTCACACAGCTTCATTCCATCTGTCATAGGTATCCAGCAAGCAACTCCGTGATGATTTGATGACCATGCTCATAGCCGGTCATGAGACTTCTGCGGCAGTCTTGACATGGACGTTTTATCTTCTATCTAAGGTATATGCTATATCAGTATCGAAAACTCACTTCTGTATTAACTTATAATATCAAATGCAGTAGTGTTTTTTTTTAGATTGTCTTTGTAGCTTATAACCATTAATATCAAGCTACTTACCTTTTCTATCCAATTGGTACCCTGCAGTATCCAAAAGTAATGGCCAAGTTGCAAGATGAGGTACACTCATGTTTTTCACTTATATAGATGTTTTTTTCTTCACTGCTTCTGAAATTTCATGAATGCCTCTATTTTCACACAACTATCCGCAGGTTGATAGTGTTCTAGGTGATGGTTTGCCTACAATTGAGGATGTGAAGAAACTAAAGTACACGACTCGGGTTATTAATGAAGTAAGAAACTAACAATGCTGGTGCATGAAACAATGATTGATCATCTCAAAAGAACATGACCAAATCATTTTTATTGCAGTCATTGAGACTATATCCACAGCCACCGGTTTTAATTCGTAGGTCACTTGAGGATGATATGCTCGGAGGGTACCCAATTGGCCGGTAAAGTTTTCTAGCAGAATTTAATATATTTCAGACACCGATGTCTGCAAATACTCTTTAGCATTAAGTTTATGCAACTCCTTAAGTTTATGCAACTCCTGTTGTCGGAGTTATATGAGGAGAGTTGCATGTCATTTCAACAACAACAACAACAAAGTCTTTAAGTCCCAAATAAATTGGGGTAGGCTAGAGTTGAAACCCAGCAGAAGGCATCAAAGTTCAGGCACGTGAATAGTTGTTTTTCAAGCACTTCTATCTAAGGCTAAGCCATTGGGTATATTCCATCCTTTCAAGTCTCCTTTTATTGCTTCTACCCAAGTCAACTTCGGTCTTCCTCTGCCTCTCTTCACGTTACTATCCTGGCCTAGGATTTCACTACGCACCGGTACCTCTGGAGGTCTCCGTTGGACATGTCCAAACCATCTCAACCGGTGTTGGACAAGCTTTTCTTCAATTGGTGCTACCTCTAATCTATCACGTATATCATCGTTCCGAACTCGATCCCTTCTTGTATGATCGCAAATCCAACGCAACATACGCATTTCCGCGACACTTATCTGTTGAACATGTCGTCTTTTCGTAGGCCAACATTCTGCACCATACAACATAGCAGGTCTAATCATCGTCCTATAAAACTTGTCTTTTAGCTTCTGTGGTACCCTTTTGTCACATAGGACACCAGATGCTTGGCGCCACTTCATCCACCCTGCTTTGATTCTATGGCTAACATCTTCATCAATATTCCCGTCTCTCTGTAGCATTGATCCTAAATATCAAAATGTATCCTTCCTAGGCACTACTTGACCTTCTAAACTAATATATTCCTCCTCCCGAGTAGTAGTGCCGAAGTCACATCTCATATACTCAGTTTTAGTTCTACTGAGTCTAAAATCTTTGGACTCCAAAATTTTCCGCCATAACTCCAGTTTCTGATTCACTCCTGTCCGGCTTTCATCAACTAGCACTACATCGTCCGCGAAAAGCATACACCAAAGGATGTCCCCTTGTATGTCCCTTGTGACCTCATCCATCACTAAGGCAAATAGATAAGGGCTCAAAGCTGACCCTTGATGTAGTCATATCCTAATCGGGAAGTCATCCGTGTCTCCATCACGTGTTTGAACACTAGTCACAACATTGTTGTACATGTCCTTAATGAGCCCGACGTACTTCGTTGGGACTTTATGTTTGTCCAAAACCCACCACATAACATTCCTTGGTATTTTATCATAAGCCATCTCTAAGTCAATAAAAACCATGTGTAGGTCCTTCTTCTTCTCCCTATACCACTCCATAACTTGTCTTTATTAAGAAAATGGCTTCCATGGTTGACCTTCCCAGCGGTGGCTGCAAGCTAGCTTTTGTATCATGTCAGTTGTTGGAGATGATGTTTAGCACCATAGGGGTAGCTTAGTTACCTTAGATTTCTTCTACTTTTTTTTGCGACATTTGTTATATTTTTTTGAACTCCTCAACGTTAATAGCTATATTAGTTTAAACAGCTATGTATAATATGCAAGCCTACTGCTTCTTTCCAATCTTATGTGGTCTATTTAATGCAAAGTTTTTTTTCCTGCTTTCCAAATTCCATTGCTTGTAGAAGTAATTTGATTTATTGATTGCCCTAGGATATTTGGATAGTGATAGCATTCATTCGTTTGGTGTTACCATCTGAAACATTTTTTTCTTTATTTGTTTCAGAGGAGAAGATATTTTTATTTCTGTCTGGAATCTTCACCACTGCCCAAAGCACTGGGATGATGCAGAAGTTTTCAACCCAGAAAGATGGCCTTTGGATGGACCAAATCCGAATGAGATAAACCAAAATTTCAGGTTCCCTCTCAATCACTGCAAAATGCAGTTATAGTTACACTTTCTTGTCCCGTCAAGTTGTCCATATGTGAATTGTTTTGATTGCAAGAAGCCAAGAACAGGGGGGACATTTGTTGACAGGAGATTGTTCTCTGAAGAAAACTTTGATTCTTTTTAATACTGCAAAGCCATTATCATTCTAGAAAGATAACCAAAGCACAGCTAATTCCTATTTTTAACTTCTTTTTTTTCGGGGCATGAATTGAACTTTGCATATGCAATTCCTATTATTTGTGGAGTTCTTAAATAGCACATAACAAAAGCCTATTGTAAACTGGCGTACCAGAAACATAATAAGATCAATTAAACAGATAAAATTTTAATTATAGGCTTAACTGACTCTGCTGGTTGAGATTTCGTGTCTCTCTATTGTGTTAGCTTAGGTTAACAAGATGGAATATTTTATATTTCCTTTCAACTGTGTATCTTTCAAATAAACAACAAAAATAAAGATTGCAATCAAGGTAGTGGCAGATACGTTCTTACTACCTCCGTCCTGCAAAGAGTGACATTTTGGTTTTGTCCTAAGTCAAAGCACCTTATATCTGACCAAGTTTATAGAGAAGATTATCAAAATTTATGACACCAAATAGGTTTACTATGAAAATATATTTCATGAATCTAGTGATATTTATTTGGTATTATGAATATTGTGGGACGGTGGTAGTATTGTACTTGTGCCTACCTCTGTCATTAATTAACGCAGTGGGATTCAAATAATCTGTTGAATTTTCAGTTACTTACCATTTGGTGGCGGACCAAGGAAATGTGTAGGTGACATGTTTGCCACTTTTGAGGTAACCTTGTTATACAATATATATGTATATATATGGTGCATTTTATATACTCCCGGGAGTAGTTACTCCCATAATCAATAAATCACGTTGCGTATGTGTATATACTCATTTATCAGTTAGAGTATGTTGACATACTAATATTAAGATACTCTAGATCTTTACTATGTGAAATCAAAAGAGCACATATTTTTTAATATATTATATAATACTATGATAGTAGCATATAAAATAAGTATAACCATATACTCTAAGTATATATACATACTTGTCATACATAGTACCCAAGATGGTCTAGTACGATGATATACTCCATCTACATACACTTTATCGTATACGCCCTAAATCTAGAGATATACACATGGGAGTAAGGAAATAATTTCCTATATATATATATATATATATATATGGCTCTTTTTCGATTTTGGGCTTTTACAAGACCAATATCTCATTTCATTCGATTAGCAATAAAGTGATCACTATAGAAAATGCTAGATTTCAAACTCAAGTAACATAGGCATACTGTGTCACTGCAGACGGTGGTGGCAACAGCAATGCTTGTCAAGCGATTTGACTTTCAGATGGCTCCAGGAGCACCCCCGGTATGTTTCAACCAGATTCTGATTCATTATAGTTAATAGCCATGCCCCATTATTTATATGCAATATAATAGGTTGACATGACAACTGGAGCAACGATTCACACGACTGAGGGATTAAAAATGACTGTTACTCGAAGGACAAGGGCACCAGTAATTCCAAACCTGGAGATGAAAATTATTTCTGATTCACAAGAACCCACACTCTCTACCCCATCGATGGTTGTTAGTGCTGCTTCTGTTGCTTCAGGAGAAGATCAAGGGGGCGTCTCCTGATTTAAGCTGTTTCAAGCTGCGACAACATACAGAACAAGTATGTTCTTTTCATTCTGCTTGGTGTTATAATTCAATTGCTTGTCTGTTTGAATTATTTCCATGCAGTATGTGCATTTACTGGTATTTTCTCATGTCTCTTCCAAAACATTGTTTTAGGCATATCCATTTATATTGCTCTGGAAGTATTTGGCTAGTTTACAGCATTTGGTTACGCAAGCAATACAAAACAGAGATGGAGTCTCCTGCCGTGCTACTTTTATTTACAACGAAAAACTCTCAACCCTTTCGGACTTATTGTTACTGATGGCACGGCACACTCCTATAGACTATAGATCTCCATGCTGCTACTCAAAAGCACCATGGACACATCTACATATTTACAAGAAGTTCTGACTTGCAAGCATGGATTGCTGCGCTCCTAAATCTTCAGCATGCCTTCCAACACACGGAGAACATCAGCACGGGTAACTATACCTGTTGATAGTGTTTAGAACCCCATTAGGCTTGTAACCTACTCTGTGTTGTCAATGTTAAGGATAATACAAATCAAGTGTATACATGCAGTTTTTTTTTTATCTCTGGCTTGTCGGCATTCTGATACTCTCCTATTACTTGTTCGTCCTGATTTACAACTGGTAATCTGTGGATCTTCATCTTGAGCATCAGAACCGCAGCATCTGTAGACGTTAGGCATGTACTGTTAGATTTAACTTATCATAAAAAAAACATACATGAAAAGAAAAGAAAAGAAAAGGTGATATGAAAGCAAAGATTACCCATCACAGTTTTGTCAGAAGATAGTGTGATGGCTGGAGAGGTCATCACTTCTGAGACCTTTTGTTTTTACTGTTACAAGTAATAGATCAGCAAACAAAATGGATGTGCTCGCAACTTGATGTGTGTGCGTGTGTGTTATTTGTGTGTGAGAAAGAGGGGAAGAGAGAGCTGACCCCATGAGCAGCTCTGGCCTGGTCATTCTTGACGACCACCCCAACACATCTGAGGCTGCTGTCTACAACTGGAAGCCCTGACACGGCCTCAAAGTGGCATTCAACCTCCTCCAGTGTCTGATCTGCTGTGGCCACTAGCACAGGTGTTGACATGGTCTCACCCAAGAGCGCCACGTGTTGTATTCACATCACACACAAAAAAAGGTACAGAGTTCAGCAAGAGCTGAAGGAGTTGAAGAGAGGTGGAAGGAGATGAAAGAGAGCCAGAGAGGTAGTAATAATGATAGCAAGAAGAAACCGAGATCAAGTACCTGATCATCTTCTACATGGGCCATCTCCTGTGACTCGAGGTAGGCGCGGAGATCGTCGTAGCTCAGAAGGGAGACGTTCTCAGGCCACACCCTCGAGATGATTGCCTCAGGGTTCTCGTCGAGCTCAAGCCAGAGGCTGGCGTCCATGAAAGTCGACGCCCTGCGCTGAAAGGTCGGTGACCCCTTCCCCCCACTACTGCCCCTACTAGCCCTTGTGCTGATCTTTGCTCATCTGGCAATGGAGCAACTCTGGAAGGTGCTGTTGATGCATGCCATGGATGGATGGAAGGGGACTGTTGGTGATCACTCTCCTGTGGGCGTCTGTCTCACTGGTTTCCTGTATCTCCTTGCACTTGCAGGGGAGGGGGTTTATAATAACAAGACGACTGTCAGGGAGCTGAGCTGAACCGAGGTGGATAGGAATGCATGGATAGCATGTCCCACCAGTGACTGGCACTACTGATGGACTCTGACTGGATGCTTCTGATTTTCATCTTCTGAAGGTTAGGCTGCTCACTGCAGGTTGGTTGATACTTGGGAGTTACTTACGGTAAGGGTGTGTTTAGTTCGCGAAATTAAATTTTTTAAATGTCACATCAGATGTTTCGGGGATGTCGGAAGGGGTTTTCGGATGCTAATAAAAAAACTAATTACATAACTCGTCTGAAAACTGCGAGACGAATTTAAGCCTAATTAATCCATCATTAGCGCATGTTGGTACTGTAGCACTTATGGCTAATCATGGCCTAATTAGGCTTAAAACATTCGTCTCGCGATTTCCAACCAAACTGTGTAATTAGTTTTTTTTCGTCTATATTTAATACTCCATGCATGTGCTTAAGATTCGATGTGACATTTTGGGGTGAAAATTTTTTGGAACTAAACATGGCCTAACTGTTATGCTGAGCCTAAGTGGCTCTGACTTGCTGTTAACAAAACCAACGTGGAATTACTGGAGGTAATGATGATGATAATGCAGCTTCATTTACCCTGGGGGCTGGGGCAAGTAAGAATTTTGATCTGGATATGTGCCCAACTCTGAGGGCGACATGGGTGAAGGACGCTTGGTTTGATTTCTGTCGTTGCTCTGAATCAATCTGCCCCGTTTCGGATGTGGATTGACGTGGAAATTTGGACGAGCTGCCTGCCTGCCTGCTGGAATTGGAGTTTCCCCTCCAAGCTCCATTGATGGGTGGGTTCTTTTGTACAGGGACAGGGACGGGGGCGGCCGACGTGGTGTGCCACCACTGGCCGCCGAGATTCCTGCGGGGCCCCTGTCACGTGGCAGCGGATAAGGTGACGTGTCTCTTGGTACACTTTTTGAGTTGGTGAATTTTGGAGTTGCAGATTTTTCCACTAGCTAGTTTCGTGATCGGTAGCCTGTGAATTTGTCCTGGATAGGTTGGCCTCTGTTTTGGTAACTAGTGATACACTTGCAGATTTCATGGTTTCCACGGAAGCCGCGGCCGCTATGATGGTGATCACTGATCATAGTGCTCCCCTGGGTTTTGGGAAAATTGCTGCTGTAGCAGATGTATGTTTTGGTCCATTGCTGTGGTAACTGGTATGCCAGGGATGCTAATTTCTCCTGCTCTCCCCTCTACTGTCGCCACGCAGAAATAGGTGAATTTTTATTTCAAAACATAGTATATTGGTATAGTCATGTACACATGTACATCTAGAGCGTGATTGGTACCATGCTTCTGCTCCAAGTGCTAGGTCATGCTCATGCATGTACCTCGCCTGTCCTTTACTAGGAATGAGCTATCTCTTCATCCTCAAACCAATCACGCTCATATTGTACTTTTACGAGCACCTATAAAAGACTGAGTCGAAAGATATTAATCAGCTCGTTCGGCTGGTACACAAGACTACTGTGTACTGGTCCGGCTGGTTTTGACTAATCCAATAGTGTTCCGTGAGAGAGAATAAGCTGAAACAAGCCAAGCCGAACACGCTGATTAAGATTGACGAAGTGCGCCCGCTGTCCGTAGGGACGTTTTGGTTTTCAAAGACTTACAAAAGTTATTGACTTAAGATAACCCTTGTGAAAACAACTTTTTTTTTGTGTGTGTAATGCTTTTTTCATCTTCGTGTAAAGAGAATTTCCAAAACACGGATTGAGTTGATTGATTTTTCTACAAATTTATCTGCAAAATCTGGAGTCGCCACCAGAATGCACGCGTGCTTCGGTGGGCCTTCACCTCGTTTATAGGCTCTTTTTGCTACTTGTTCTCAAAATTTTTCAAAAATAAAAACTTACTAGGAAAGCTATGTAAATAAATAACAAAGTAAAAGCACGGTCTGGTCCATCTTTTACTTTTTCATATAATTGAGGACAGTGCCGATGTCAGGGGAAGCTACATAAAAACTTGATATTTTCTCGTGCTTCCTCTACTGTTGTCACCACAAAGAAACAGATGATTTTTTTTTTCAAAACATAGACACATACGCACGCTCGTCCTTATAAACATGTACATATAGATATAGGGCGTAATACCCTGCTTTTTCTCTGACCTGGCCAGCTGGCCTGCCGGCCTCGCCAGCTGCATGCACGAGGCTTGCTCGAAACGCAGTTGGAATTTTTTTTATTGCCTGGCTCGTGCGAGTGTATAAATTGGCAAACAAACAAGCAATAAAGCAACCAAACAAGTGATGGGTGTGTGTCCTCTCCCATCCGGGGTTGTTTAGTTACCCCAAAGTCTAAACTTTAGCACTACGTAAAAAGAAGATTTTCTGTCGCATCAAACTTACGGTATATGTATGGAGTACTAAATGTTGACGAAATCAAAAACTAATTGTATAGTTTGGTTGTACTTTGCGAGACGAACATTTTGAGCCTAATTAGTCAACGATTAAACAATTATTATCAAATACAAACGAAATGCTACAGTGCGCTACAGTAATTTCGATGACGCCAACTTTGGCAACTAAATAAGGTGTAATAGGCAAACAAACAAGCAATTAAGCAACCAAACAATAGGTGGGTCTTGCATGTACCGTGCCTGTCCCATCTCAGCCTGGATGATAGGAACGAGCCACGCTCTCTTCATCATCAAATCAATCACGCTCATATTGTATCTTTATGATCACCATTAAAGCCTTGTTTAGATTGGGGTTAGGAATTAGTATTTGGCACTGTAGTATTTTCGTTTGTATTTGACAATTATTGTCCAATCATGGCCTAACTAACCTCAAAAGATTCGTCTCGTAATTTACAATCAAATTGTGTAATTAGTTATTTTTTTTATCTATATTTAATACTCCATACACGTGTCTAAAGATTTGATGTGATGAAGAGAGAGTGAAAAAACTTGCAATCTAAGCGGGGCCTAGGAGGTTGAGCCACAAGGTATTAATATTGACGAAGCGCGCCGCTAGGGATGTTTTGGTTATCCGAGGACTTACGAAGTTATTGATTTATGATAGCCCTTGTGAAATCAACTTTTTCGTGACAGAGTGATTTATAGTGTCTTTTCATGTTCGTGTAAAGAAAATTTCCAAAACGATAAATTGAATTGAATTGATTTCTTACAAATTTATCTGCAAAATTTGTAGCCGTCACTAGAATGCACGTGTGCTTCGGTGGGCATTTATTACCTCGTTGTTATAGGCTCTTTTTTCTACTTCTTGTCTATAAATTTTGTCGATTGAAAAAGAAAAACTTACTAGGAAAGCTACGTAGATAAAGTAAAAGCACGGTCTGATCCATCTCTTACTTTTTCATATAAATAAGGAC